TGGGCTGCTGCTGGCAGCTACAGGATGAAGTCGCCTCCCTGCTGCATGTCTCTTTCTTCCCAAGCATCCCTGGAGGAACCAGGGAGTAGCACATCCCTGGGCTCCCTGGAGTCCAGTGTTTTCTCCAGTGAGGAAGAGCAGGGGCCCCTGCTCCAGAAGGTCATTCCCTCCTTGGACTGCTTTACTATCAATGTAGGAGGCAGCCGCTTTGTGATGTCCCAGCAAACTTTGTCTTGCTACCCTGACACCCGTCTTGGCAAACTGGCCGTAGTGGTCTCTGCTGCCCGGGATGTGGCGCCTGGCCTCCTTGAGCTTTGTGATGATGCCAACCTTGTGGAGAATGAATATTTCTTTGACCGGAGCTCACAGGCATTTCACTACATCCTGAATTACTACCAGACAGGGAGGCTGCATGTGATGGAGCAGCTTTGTGCACTCTCCTTCCTGCAAGAGATCCAGTACTGGGGTTTGGATGAGCTCAGCATTGAGTCCTGCTGCAGAGACCGGTGAGTTGTGGGAAGACGTGGCGTGCAGGATTGTGGGCTGGGTGAGCTCAGCATTGACTTGTATGCAGGGACGCTCAGGTGAGAAATCCAGCAGTGGGAGTAGGTGAGGTAGCAGAGCATTGGAAGAAGTGTGCTCGAAGCTGCAGGAGTTCAGCCCTGAATCCTACTGTGGAGGTGGATGTGTGTAGGAAATGGGAGGAGATGTGTTGGGTTAGGTCGCTGTTGACCTTTGCTGAGGGACAGGTTGGCAGGGGGGGCAAGACAGTGAGACCCTAACAGGAGCAGGATCTGGATTTTCCTGTACCAGTTTCGGACTGGCCCCGGAAGCTCAAAATGTTTGAAAGGGACAATGCTGGAGATGAAAAAGGTTGTGAAAGGAGAGATGTCCTTTCAGTCATCCAATTTGGGGTTATCCAAGTTAGAGGGATTGGATGTGGAGTCAGGCATGGTGCCGAGAGGGTTTGGAGCCTCCCTAGCCCGCACTTTTCATTCTGGAGGATTTCCAGATCTAAGCTGGAGAGGCAGAAGGGGGGGTGGTCATCTGCCAGGCTGAGTGTGGGTGGCATGGCTCCAGGAGGAGCCGTGATGGGAAGCATCGCACATGGATGTAGCAGCTTACAGGGAGGGGGCAGCAACATGGCTCACTGGAGACAAATAGTAACAGGCAGCATAGGAACGAGGTGGGTTTCAACTGAACCACCCCCAGGACATGTCTGTTAATTCTATTTGCAGTTAATTTTTTTTTTTTGCCACCATTTTTAGTGTTACTGGTTTGTTTGTTAGTATTGAAGAAATGAATTCTCTAAAGAGTATAACTGCTATTTATCTAAAGCAAAATTATTAGAAAGAAACAAAGAAGCAACCCCACCCTAAAAGGATACTAGAGTTATCCTACCCTAGCATGGTCCAGTTCTGCAGCTGACAGAGTTGGATCCTAGTTTTCATCCCTTCCTTCCTTCCCTGGTCCTTCTTTGGTGGTAGAAGGAGCTACAGACCTCTTTGGCATATGCAGGAGTAACTGTGTATCAAATGAAGGCAATATTGCATAGCCCCTTGGTCTAAGGCTGGAGATTTGCAGCAGTCAAGAAATATAGATATGAAAGAAAAGGGGGGGTTTGTGTGTATTTTAGGAATGTTTTTGTTTCATTAAATTGTACTGTAAATGTACTCTTGCTCTAACAAAACACTCAACTGTGCATTTACAATCTGTAAGTTTTACTCGGCACAGATGCTTGTGCACTTTGTTGTGTGAGGACCCATATATTTAAAGAAAGTAAGATAACCTGTCATCTTAGTGTGTATTGATCAGAACTTCATCCATGAACTGCATGGCTTTTATTATGCCTTCCCTTTTAGTATTGCAGATACACAGCAATGTAATAAAAATGCAATATAATTAATAAAATTGAGGGCAATTTAGAAACAGAGGGTCTGGTTGTGCCAGGATTGCTTACAAGAATGCAGGTTAGTCATGCAGCAGATCCTACCGTAGTCAACATGATCCATATAAATATCATGCTATCAGAATAAAATTACTCTGCACATACTGTCACTGATATGAAATGAGGGAATAGAAATATCAGGTCAATGGAAACATGCTGCAGGGTCTCCATTTATGAAATCATCAACCATATGCTTGACATCAGGGTTTTCTGAGTAAGGTATACTTAATGTGTGTTCTTATGCCTTACGTGGTAGAGGATAAGAAAAAACATATGCATATTGGTATTAAAAATCTCTTTGGCGGGGTTTCTGGGCAGGTACTTCAGGAGGAAGGAGCTGAGTGAAGCCTTAGACATCAAGAAAGATGCAGAAGAACTGGATGCCCAAGATGAGGAAGAGGACTTTTCTGGTAGCCTCTGTCCCAGTGTCAGACAGAAACTTTGGGAAGTTTTGGAAAAGCCTGGCTCCTCTGCAGCGGCCAGGACTTTCGGCACTCTATCCATGGCTTTTGTTGTTGTGTCTATTGCCAACATGGCTTTGATTTCAGTAGAGCTAAGCTGGCTGGCACCACCGCTACTGGATGCCCTAGAGTACCTGTGCATTGCATGGTTCACTGTGGAGTTTGTTCTGAGGTTCCTGTGTGCACGGGATCGGTGTCGCTTCCTAAGGAGTGTGGCAAACATCATAGACCTCCTTGCTATTTTGCCTTTCTACATCACCCTGCTGGTGGAGAGCCTGTGTGGTGGGGAGAGCTCCCAAGAACTGGAGAACGTGGGGCGCATTGTCCAAGTGCTGAGACTGCTCAGAGCCCTGCGGATGCTGAAGCTGGGAAGACATTCAACAGGTACTTTTGGCCATGGCAGTGGTACTTCTCGGTTTTGCTGCCTACAACAGTTGTCCCTGGGCACAGTCCCCAGTTTGTGTGCATTTCTGCCTAACCTTTTTACCCAATCTAATGTTAGCAGTAAAGGCTTGTGAAAATCTTGCTTTTGGACTTTGGTAACTGAGTGGCAGGGGACTTCTCCAGTAAATTTTAGTTCTTCATAAAGCCAGTGTATATTGTTCGCACAGAATATTTACAAAAAACAGGCCCCAAAGTTGCATACTGTAAATCATCCACCAGTCATTCATAATGTCATAAATTTTAAAAAAACATATATTTGAGTTGATTTCGTTAGGGATGAAGCAAGAGAAGAAGCAGAGATCATTGACCCACGCTTTTTGTATTATCAAATGCCCATTAATGACAGCTTATATTACCTGTCACAATTTGTTTTGTTAAGAACTATATGCAAAGAAATATATCATGATTTTGTCTACATCCTAGGTTCTGAAAACAACCAGAATAGAGCATGTTTCAAGAAAACTGTTAAAACTGAATCATACCAGGCAGTGGGTTGAGGGGCTCTCTGGCCCTGTTGAACACACTGGTATCTATGTGATATGTGGAGCACAGCTGGGGGCTGTTCACTGAACGGACCTCGGTGCAGCTCAGAGCAGCAGTGTCAGGTTCAGTCAGTGTTCAGGCATCAGAGTGGGTCCCTTGGTGTGCAAGCACTTCTGTCAGGTCAGCAGACGTGGATGAACAGCAAGCAGGGGTAGGGTGGAAGGTGAAGTGCATTTCTTGAAACGTTTTTGTTCACTCTTTCTGAGTAGTGAAGGGAAGGCATAAAAGGTAATGTTTTCCAGTGGGAATTTATCAGGGGAAGCTGGAAATGATTGGAAGGTGTTGTGTTTCCCTTTGTGTTTACCTGATTTTTATTACTACTTCATGAGATGTGCCTGCCTGGATATATGAAAGAGTAAAAGCTGTGCTCCCACCACACCCTCTCCATGCCATGGTGTTGTCCAGTGCTTGGCATTTTTGAAGTGATTTAATTATGTTCCCACTTAAATCAGTGCTTAATATGGCACTGAATTTGACAGGAGACATGTTCAGCCAACACTTGGAGCTTTGAAAACTCAGATCCTAATAGTAAATCATGGTCTCTGTCCTGCAATATTAGCCTGTACTGAAGAGGGCGATGGTTGTTCCTACATGGCACTCAACATACCCTTCCAGGATTTCCTGACATGGAGCAGGATTCTTGTTCTTGGAGAGCCATCTCCACCATCTTTATGAACTGGCCCTACTCCAGCAGGCATTACAGTGTGCTCGCAGCAGCAGAATGTGTCTCTTTATTTTTGTTCCCACTGAAGGGCAGTGACCCTGCCTGCCAATGGCAGGGAGTAGCTTTAATGCTACTGAGCATAATCATAGTGGTTTGGGAAGTATCTTAATCTTACTCGCCTACCCCAGATTATGCCTATATTGATGCATAACTGTCCCTTAGAAAGCAGTTCAAAGGAAGCTTACAATGATTCAGTCTGTCAATGAATTTGTTTTGCTTCATTTTAATTTTTGCAGGGTTTGGTGGGGTTTTTTTGCAAGAAAGGCTGCTACCCACTGTTGATGGTAGCTGTAATGTGAGTGCATTCCTCTGTAATTGTATTTTGAAAATAAGAAAAAGATTTGAACTCATCAAGGCACTTCTGTGCTGAATAACAAAATATTGATCCAAAAGTATGTTGATTCTAGTTATAAAGTTTCCAGCTTATCGCATTTTACTGTTACAGAATGAATCCATGAAACTCAGTTCTAAGGCTCTTTCTGTCAACTTGAAACCAGATGTTTCAGACACTTCTATAAAAACTGTTAACTTCAGATATATTAACTTTCAGGGATCGTCTAGACTTTTGTGTCTATTTATTCTTAAATTCTTTAAAACTTTACCACAGTTTATATCACAATATTCAGTGCCATTAAGAGTTTAGTAATTCCATGTTAAGTAGAAGTAAATTAATTATATCAAAATCTAGTTTCCTCATTTGAAAGTGAGCTGTCATCTTTCTACTAGAACCAAAGGACCAGTTTCAAAATACAAGAAGCAACATATGTATCTACTTAAACCATCCAGAGCTGTCACTGTGCTTGCCTCTTTGGTAGTTCAGAGTCACTGCCCACTTAGGCCCAGAACACTAAATCAAATCTGCATAATTTAAATGTAGAAAGTCACTGTTTCAATCTTCTGTCAGAGGAGATGCTGGTAGTGAAACAAAACATACCCTTAACAAATCAAAACAGAAACATACACTCGCAGATCTGAAGCCCTATTTCTGACCACTAGAGGTGTGTAGCAGAAGAGAGTTTTATTAACGTGCTTCTAAACACATCCTTAACCACAGCTGCTAATATAAGGTGAACCCCATAAGCACCACGCACAAAGACCATCCTCCTTGCACATACCTAGGCAGTCCTGAAAAATCTCAGTGTTTCAACGTGGCATTCACAACAGTTCTGCTCTCTTGCCTTGGATCTGGCAGCTTAAAGCTTCTCTCTGACTCCTGCACTCTCAGACCAGACAATGCTTCGTGCACTCCTTACATGCTTTGTGTGGCAAGAGGAGTGTGAGATCAGAAGAGATAAGAAAATTCGTGGCTGCAGACAGCAGCTTCTCTTTCACCAAGGAGAGGTGATCACAGTCACAAGGAGAGCATCTCTCTAGCACTGTGCAGACCCATAGCAAAGCTGGGATACCAACAGCAGCCTGGCTCTGCTGTCAGGGGCAGAAATGAGTTACGAAAAAACATAACATCAATTCTTTTTTTCACTTTATTTTTAAAGAAATGACAGATTAACCCTTTTTGTGGGGAAGGGACACAAAAAGAAATGGAAGAATCATTTCTGCCCCTTTGAAAGCTGAACTGAGCTAATAGGAGGGATGTGATGCCTGGAAACACTGGGGCTAGACTGGAGTGAGTGTGTACTTACTTATGCAAAGTGCTATACTTCATCAAGGAGCAACTGAGAAATCAGTAGTACCTCTACCCAGAAAATGTATAGCTAGAAGGTGAGACCACTCTTTTGAGATACCAAAATTATGGATTTGAGTGGCTGCAAGAATAGGTGAGAACTGAACCTGCATTTTTCACATTCTTTGATGTTCCTCAGCTGTTGGCTTCCTTCTGGGGCCACGTTTTGTGTGCAGCCTTGCTGGTCCTCCTGTGGGAAGCACTTACAGATTGACTCCTTAAGGAGAAGTAGGATGTGAGCATCTTACGTCTGATGGCAACAGGCATATGTTTGCGAGAAGGCTGTAGCGTATGTGAGGATGAGATGCCTCTGGATACATGAAAAAGTGAAACTTCAGCACTTTCAGTGCCAAAAATTTAGTGTGATTTAAACGCTGTGTGTAAACTGAAGCTCCCAAACATCAGCTTGTATTGCCAGCTCCCTTTGGGCAACAGAGAGATGGAACTTGACCTGCATGGCAGAAACACCTCCCCTTCCTCCTGCGGGCCCCAGGGCTGGGGCTGCTTACCTGCCCCACGCCAGCTCTGTTACAGCAACTTAGCACCTTCCAGCATGAGTAACCAAGCTGTCACAGCTCCTGGCAAGGAGTTCTCATGGGAGGTCATAAAACTTGCTGAGGTGTCTGTGCTGGACCAGCCCTAGCTTGGCTGTGTGCTAGGGCTCAGAGACATTTTAAAAAATTGCAATGTACTATAGCAGAATATATTATTCTTTTGAATACACCAACTGATTCCCACTTAGGAATGAACTGTGGAGTCCAGTAAGTTGTCTGATTCATAGATTCATCTAAAAACGTCTTCTGACTTCATCTGAAGACATGAAGAGATGGAGAACCATTGTTTCACTGCTAATTCATTCTAGTGATTATGTACCCTCACCAAATTAATTTGAATTTTTTTTTTTCACTTCAAGGTCTAGACACTGTTGTAGTTTCTGGGTTGAGTTGGTTTTCTGGTTTTTGTTGTGTTTTTGTTTTTTTTTTTGCTTTAACAAATTAAAGGTTCTGTAGTTATTTTCCTTTATGATAACCAAGATAACTCTTCAATACCTGTTTTTCTTTTTGATAACTGAGACAGCTTGAACTCTGTTTTTCCAGACCCTGAATCATTTCTGTTACACTCTTCTGCACCTTCTGCAGTTTTTCAGTACCTTTGTTTTAGATGAGGATAATAGAAGTAAGCATACTAAAAAAAATTCAGACTCCTTAACAGTCAGAATAATTAACCATAGGAAAAATATTTTACTGAATGTGTCATCAATGTGATACAAAGAGTTAGCAGTCACTGCCCTGTTCCTCCATATTTTGACCTGGTTTATGCAAGAGTTGCACTGTTTTTTAGCTATAGTATTCTCAGGATCCGTCATAATGGGCAGACCCTGGCTTTTACAGTACTCATTTATGCTTTGAAAAAAAATGCTACAGAGGTAATTTTAAATTGGAGTACCTTCTTCCTTGGTCACCTGAAAGGACTTATTCTTCTACCTTGTTCAGTTGGAAGTTTTACAGGGCAATTGATGATAGTAACTTCCTTGGAAGATGAGAGTTTGATCTGGATCCTTGCAATTGTCTCACACAGCTTTTACACTGCATCTTAGTGCATTTCCAAAATGTGGTGGCAGTCATAATAACAGAGAAAAGATTACAGTGATATATTGCATTCCCCTTGTGTTGCAGATTTAAACTATATCATTGTAATATACATGCTAACCAACAGATCACAGTCATAGTAATATAAAACCTGGATATGGGCAAGTCCTTAAGTGGAGTTTGTAGAAGAAAACATTGAAAAAGGAAACACTCCCTACAAACTCTAGTGTGTACTTCCACTGTTTGCTGTACATAAACAAAAACTTTAAAAACCATTAGACCTGAAGGGGAAAAGAAAGAGCCAAAAGCAAGAAGAAATTTTAACATCTTGTAGTTTGAGACTGAGGAAAGAAAAGCAAGTTGAATTGCTTGTTACCCTAATGAGCATATGAAGTCTGCAAGCAGAGGCAGAGCTCCAATAAGCTATTTTGCAAACACTGGTTTAGATAGAAGTGTACCCCATGAAGGGTAATTCACAAGCATTGTGTTTTTCTCATTTGTAACAGAGTACGTTTTTAAAGAACAGCATTAAAAACCAGTCCAAAATCACTTGTGATTCAAAAGATAATTTCAGTTTCCCATGTGTCTCAGCTGAGCTGGTACCCTGTTATCTTTCTTCTTTGTTTATGTGTGCAACATTTATCTATTGCACTATTACTGGATTTACTTTCCTGCCTGCTTTGTCAGGCAGTCTAGCCTTAAGGCAGCAGCTCTAAAAGGAATGTGGGGTGTTATGGAGAGTGGTCAGCTGCACATGAACTCCCTGTGCAGCTCACGGGCAATAGGACTGATGCAGTACATTGGTGAATTAACTGGAAAATACCACGTTTTCATTGGGAGGCTTTGCTGTCTCCAGTTTTGGCACAAATGCAGCTGCTGCTGGAATACTGTGTTTTGATATCTACACATAAATATATTGATAGGTTTTTTGGGGGAAAGAGGGGTCGAAGAGAGGCTGTGAGAACTATAAAAGGATTGAAAACAGTCCTTAGCAAAGAAAAAGTTACTGAGCGACTGAATTGGGCTCTAAGCACCCACCTGGGAATACAAATTTGGTAACTAAGGGTTGCTTGGTCCAAGAGAAAAACATGACAATGGCTGGAAAATAGGAGCTTGGCACATTCAGACCTAAAGTAGGGCACAGGTGTTTTCAGTATGGTTTTTAATAGTTATTTACATAACTTATTAAAAATTGTGTTAGATCTTCAGTTACAGCCAATTACTAAATCAAGATTGGTTAGTTTTTCTAAATCATATGTGTACGTAGTTCAAATGGTAAGTAATGAGGAGAATTTCTATGCTCCGTATTAAGGAAACAGAGATGATGTCAGTGGTTCAGTCTAACATTTTAATCTATTTCTTTTAATCATTTTGTCCCAGTACGTGACAGCAGCGCCCCTTTTTCTTAAGGAATGTTCACTGACAGTCAAAGGAAAACATAAGGCAGTCAGCTTTCAAATAAGAGATGTTTTGCAAAGTTATGATGGCAGCTACATGAATCAGCCCACTAACAGCATTTCTTGTCTTTCAGGCTTGCGGTCTCTTGGGATGACTATTGCACAGTGCTACGAGGAGGTTGGCCTTCTGCTGCTTTTCCTCTCTGTAGGAATCTCTATATTTTCCACTGTGGAGTACTTTGTTGAGCAAGGCATGCCAGGCACAACTTTCACAAGCGTACCTGGTGCTTGGTGGTGGGCAACAACTTCCATGACAACTGTTGGTTATGGTGACATTAGACCAGACACTACCATTGGTAAGGTAGTGGCCTTTATGTGTATACTATCAGGAATACTGGTTTTGGCTTTGCCAATAGCTATAATAAATGACCGATTTTCTGCCTGTTACTTTACACTGAAGATAAAAGAAGCTGCTCTTCGGCAGCGTGAAGCTTTAAAGAAACTCACAAAGAACTCATCCAGTGACTCTAATATCAATGTTAATTTGCGAGACATATATGCACGCAGCATCATGGACATGTTACGGTTAAAAAGCAGAGAGAGGGCAAGTACAAGGAGCAGTGGAGCGGATGATTTTTGGTTTTGACTTTTAAGTTATTTAGCCTTGTATAGCAAATAGACTACTTCAAAAATATAGTATTAAGCATCTCTCTTTTTGTTATTCACCACAGTGTATTTGCTTTCTCAGCTGGAGTTTTACTTACTTGGACAGACTGAGATAATCACTGTATACAAAAGGCAGAATTCATAATGTGGAGTCTCTCAAGGGGCTCTGAAACCTGCTTCCAGAACTGGATCGTGGTGGGTGAGAGGGGAGTAATGGGTCCATCAAAGTAAAACAGTGATGCAAACACTTGTCTATGAACCTTATGTCCTTGCTAATGTATAGTAATAAAGTCTTAGCCAAAATTGCCATGGTGTTTTGAATTTTAAAGAACTATAAGATTTGTATTTGCATTGGAAGAACAAAAGTTAAAGACATTAAGAAAATCTGAAAAGGGAAGTCTAAGGGAGTGAAATGTTGAATAAATTTATGATAACATTCCTATAATGAGCTTCATCTTGACCCCCTTTCTTATCCCCATCTTCTACTCCATTTGCATGAAAAAGAGGTTACTAGACCCTGGGGAGGACTACCAGATACGTGGTGGGTATCAGGAGAAAGGTGAAAGTATTAAGCAGATCCAAGATATGCAGCAAAGTATAAAAATAGTCATGAAATAGCTGCCATAAGAGCATCCTCTGCAGTTGCTCTAGAAGTTGCAGGAGCTAATACAGCCTTTGCAGCATAGAAGTCATTTACAAACTTATTTTGAACTATGCCTTCTCTGTTTGTTTTGATTCCCATAACTTATTTGTGTAGCTAAGCAGTTTTTGTGCTCAAGTCAAGTCACCGGTGGATATCAGAAGAAACAGAAATGATAAAAGATAATAAAATACTTATTTCTTTAGCTCACATTAAAATCAGTAGGTATTCCAAGTGGGCCAGATTTTTAAAAAATTAATAATCTTCACTGACCCATTATTAGAAAAATCCTTCATCAAAATCTTTTGTTCCAAAGGAAAAATGAGCACTTGTTGGACTGGATGCTTAGTCTAAGGCAGTAATGAAAGTACAAAATTAAAATAATCAAAGGTATTTTCAGTCAAGTTTCCCACCACTTACCTCTCCAGTAGCCCAACATCATTCTTAGCAAACAAAGCTTTTCCTTAATATAATTTCACTGTCCTAGACTGACATTGCCACAGTATGTATATAACTCAAGTAGTAGGTTAAATAAAAAAAAATCACAAACCTCTCTCATTACATGTTTCTTTTGGGCAAAGTAAGTACAATCATTATTTACATTTGACATTAATTGAACATACTCACTAAGAAGAAACATCTATTAACTGTGGATTATTTAATTTTATAAGGTATTTATGTAAATAGAAGGCTTAAACTGCCTTTAAGGATATATGAATGGGTGAAATAACCTTTTAATAAAGATTGCATAATACTTGTTTTGAAACAACAGTGTGTTTTCCTCCCATTCCCTATAAATGGTGGTGTAAACATAATGCAGCAAGCAAAATTTTCAAAAGCTCCAACCTGGATGCAAACCGAGTAGTATTTCAGCATGAAATTTCTTCTGATTTATCAGCTGGCATTAGTCAGCGTTTGGATTTGGGCCCAATGCAGCACATGCAGCTGTCACCAGGGTCAGAAGGAAGCCAAGGGAAAACACTGGAGACCAAAAGAGTGTGTCTTGCTCTACCAGCAATTGTCTAGGTGTGAAAATTCATAGGTCAGCCTCGTGGTCTGTGTTACACAAAGTGTGTCACCGCAGTGTTCCTCTCTGCCCAAATACTCTATGAATCCATCACAAAACTCCTGTTGATGTCCAGAAGACAAAATTAATTCTGCAGGGGAAGGTTTGATGCAGCCCACTCTAGGTTATTATCTCATAGCTCCTCAGAGCAGGAAGTCTCTCAGGCTGCACAAATTGTACAGGCTGTGTCTCATTCAAAAGTCATTCTAATTATAGAGAATTAGGAAGAAGCTTTCATTGTGGGAAGGCTGTTTTGTAATGTCTTTTGTGCTTTCTTGTACAGCATCTGATCTGTGTTTGAGAAAGGAAATGCAGTTAGATAGCTGATTGATTCTCTTTAGGGAAAGGGTGCTTTTATTGCATCCTGTGCTTTTTATGAAGGACTCAAAAGAACGAGAGAAATGTTCTGGGATCTATCAGTTGATTCACTCCTTTCACCAGCTATGGAGATAAAGTTTCCTAGAAATGCCCATGGGAAAACATGGCTGAGACTTTATCCAGTAGCTGCTTTGCCTTCTATTTTCAGACCCCTTGATTTTAAATTCAAAGTTTCCCAAGAAGTGTTTGTCAATCATGTTGTTTATGCAGCAAGGTTATCTATCACATTATGGGCTGAGACTAGCAAAGCATTTTGCAGATGAAGGCTGGTTCTGCTTTCAGCTCTTACAGACGGAAGGACCAGAGCATTTGTCCTGAGCAACAAACAGAATGGGACATCACAACTCTAAAACATGAAGCTATGCCATGTACTTATTACCACAGAAAATAGCTCAGTCACTGCTAAGGCACCAAATTAAGGATGTTACTGTGCTATCTTTAGAATATCACACTGAAGATAAGAAACTACCTCTTGTCCTCACATCTGTTCTGCCATTTCCATTCCATAGCAGACTTGGCAGAAAGGATCATGTGTTAGAACATCAGTAACATTGTCTGAAAAATCAGCGGTTTTATCTCAAAACACCAAGTATTTTCAATAACTGGTATCAAAGAGTGTAGCTGCAGCACTTAAAGCAAGCCTGCATTAACCTTGGTTCCCTAGTACAAGAAACAATACTAGTGAAAATGCAGTGGCATAGACTACAGAGCAGACTAACAATCTGAAAAATCTTGTGTATTTGTAGATGCTTAGGGGCAGCTTTTAGTTGGGAACAGTGTGTTCCAACCCCAACAGGACTTTTTAAACATCACTAAAATTGTTCTTTGTCATTCTCACTTTGAAGAAAGCCAACAGCCTCCTGGGGAACACCAAAGAGAGCATTGCCAGCAGGTCAAGGGAGGTGGTCCTGCCTCTTTGCTCAGCCCTGGTGAGACACATCTGAGTGAAGCATCCAGTGCTGGGTTCCCCAGTACAAGAAAGATGGGGGACATACTGGAGATAGTACAGCAAGATACTGGAGTGCCAGGTTGCAGAGACATCGGGGCATCCCCATGTCCAGGACAGGTGGTTGTGCTGGTAGCTGTGGGGGGATTTATCACTTCTGGGGGTAAGTTTTAAAAAGGTGTTTAGAAATTCATGTTTGCTAATATTTTACAAGTGTCTAATATTGAGATTTACCTTTTGTACTGTACTGATATTGATCCTGAATGCATAGTTCACTGTTCACTTTAATTATGTGGTGTTAGTAAGTCAATAAACCATTTCAATCTTGATTTGATATAAACTATGTAAGTTGAGCAATTTTCCCCCAGGAGAGGAGTTTTGCTGGCCAACTCTGAGATTGTGGGATTGCCACATGGCAAATATGGTTGAGCACAAAAAGGAGCAAAAAGAAAGTTATGAGGTCTTTTACAAGGTAATGCCCATTTATTTTTGTTTTCTGACATAACAAAGTATTCTCATCTTGTTATAATTATTTTGATAACGAGTGACATGCTTTTCTCATTTTCTACAGTATTGTCCTCTCAAACCTCCATTGAGGTACACGTGCATACACACAGCTCTATCAGAGCGTATTCTGTTGAGATGCCTACTACCTAAACTGCACCAGAGCAGCTGTTGCTGACACCTCCGGTACTTAGTTGTCTGTGCTCTTATCACATAGCCACTGCAGAAACGGTAGAGCAGCACAGGCTGTAGTCACACCTCTGATTGCAGACAAGGGGTCTCCAGGGCTCTGGGCTCTTGAAAACATCATTCAACAAAGAGGAGGGCTGGAGTCAATAATGTCTCTAGGATTGAGATGCATTTTTCCATTATAACCTCTTGTCAATTAGGTTTTTTGAGAGCTTTAATAAGTCTTGTAATTATTATGGCTTTGCCTTTTATTTAAACACAAATACTAGAAAACACATACATCTCCAGACAAAAGCAGAGCTGCCACACACATACTGTTTGTAAGAGTTTGATGAGGCATTTAAGTTTGGTGTAAATAGTGAGGTTGCCCTGATGAGCAGTCAGTAACTAAAGCCATTCCTTCAGAAAATGGATTTTAATGAAAGACTAAGCTGAAGAATTCAATTATAATTAATTTTGTTGTTGGTTTTGATATATGAAATAGAACCTTTTCTGACAAAAACTTGACCCCAATGTACAGGACGTGCTTCTGTTAGAGGATGGCACTGTCAGCAGGAGGGAGAGCACAGCCCATTTTGTGTGTGCCTCTCACAGGCATGTTTGAGAAGCGTAAGCATGCACGCTCCTTCTCACAGAAAAACAGAAGGGAAATTTGGTGCAGGTGGGTCTTGCAGACTGCCCTATTACAGGATTTCTATGTGAGACAAACAAATTCTACACTAACAACAAAGCCTATTTAAACGTATTTGGGGCACTATTATCTGTTTTACTTATGCTAAGTTTCGGCTCTGCAGACACCAGCTACCCCTTTAGTGGCAGTGAGGATAAGGAAGGATCCACCTAATGTCACAAAAGCAGGTCTCACACCAGCCAATGTAAACATCAGTTGCTCCCAGTCTTTCTCAGACCCCCAAGAAGTTGCCTGTGAGATGGACTTATACCAAAGAGTGAGGAACCCAGAACAGCCTGAAGTTAGGTTGGGTCTTTTAAAAAGTCTACAGTTGTGTTCCTCTAATTAAAATTATGTAAAATGCCTGTTATGATGTGAAAAAAACATGTGTTTGTAACAGCTTCTTAAATCATCTTCCTTATCAAGCAAACCAAGACTCCTGCAGATGTAAGATTTTGTCTAATTATACTGAACTTTGTACAGCTTTTAATAAAACCAGAAGTGCTTTTAAGTCATGTAGTATTACTGTCTGGTCCTGCAAGCTGATACACACGTTTCATTTCCAATGGCTTGACTCAGAAAGGCAGTTCTGTTTCCAACTCTGCGCAGCAGAGAGAGATCCTGGGAAATGGCTGAAGTGCATGACTCTTCACTACCTAATGCATGAACCAGTTTCTCAGGAGAACTTGGAAGAGAATTTATAACAGCCTCTTGCAATTGCCATAAAAACCAAACACAGTGAATTGACTTGTCCTAAACACATTTTTTCAACACAACCAAAAAAGGCAATTGGCTTGAACATAGTTAAAAGATAACTGATGATGTCACTCTTTACAGCTGGCCCTGTGTTACAGACTTCTGAATTGTAACTTTCAGCCTGAGGTATGAAATATATTATGAAATCCAACCATGT